TATTCCAGTCCAGTGCTTTGTGCACAATAAAATTATTTTATGTTATAGCCTATTATCTTAGCTTATATTAGAATGTTCAGGAAGAAATGCTGCTGGAGAAATCAAACGGTTATCTTTGAGAAGGAACAAGGCTACACTTTTAGAATTCACATTTTAATGGAAGATACAATATTTCTATTGTTTCACCTGTCTTGAAATAAATAGCAAGAACTCCACAGTTTAGCTTTATCTTATAAAACAAACTACGCAAAACAAATCAAAACTAAGCTACTGCTTTGGAGTAAGGTAATGAATACATAATTAAAGTCTCCCGGATTCTCCTTATTTTGAGAACATCCTTTAAAACATGGTGAATATTTAAGGGACTACTCCTGAAGAAATATTTCTCAATAAAAAGATAATAAAAATAAACAGAATCAGAGATCAAAATTAAAGAGCTTTAAGCTATGAAAATATTGACTTCATGACCAGAATTTGATATTTACTTATAGCTCAAAATAACATATTTTTATGCCCCTGTCAAAAGTATAAAATCTATTGCTAAAATAAAGTTGGCAATGCATTAATATGTACCAATGCAAACACAAAAACCTTTAATATAGAGAATTTATTTTCTTTTTCATTTCCTCTCTTTACTATCTAATTCAATTATATCAACAAGAGGTTGACCTGAATACACCATCACAGTGACTCAAATCATAAAAATAATCAAGTCAAGGAAGTTCTTAAAATAATAGAAAACATGGTCTGATATATTGTCCTATGAATGAAGGGTAAACTTTACTTTCACTATTTTCTTGAAAGACCAAACAGTCTTAGATTTTTCTTCTGATTATGAGACATTGATCAACCACCAGCTTACACAAAGGAAGCAAACCTGAAACTTTATTTCCATCCCTCTCACCTCTGGGAAGTCACACGAAGAAGCCAAGACACCTCACACAACTCTAAAACCCAACTCTGTTGGGTCATTTGCATATGTATCACAAGGTAATTGCATAACTGCACAATTAACTTTTTTGACACAATAGGGAAAATTTTGAAATGCTAAAAACAACATACAGAGGCAGACAGAGAAACACACTGAAATATGCACAGACCCATTTTGTTTTTCTCAAGAAGCTAGTCTGGACAAGATTCATTTCATTATGACAAGACAAACCATAAAATAGCTACAAGCTTAAAGAATAAGAATGGACAAATACAAATTTATTTTATAGCCGACAATAAATTAATTTATAACTGTAATTAACTTCAATTTTTAATAACTCAAAAACATGTCACAGATAAATTAGTGTAGTGACTATTTCATTTTTCCATGGATGAATTTAATGCAGTGAAATATCTGCCATAGCGCATCTATTCCCCCTAATAATCTTGTTATATTAATTTAGATAGACACAAATGTAGTTTTCTTAGTTTATAGAAAAAGTCATGCCACAAATCTGCAGTGAAATGTAACTAAGTTCATAGAATGGCTGAGGCTGGCAGGAACTCTGGAGGTCCTCTGGTCCAACCCCCTGCTCAAGCAGGGCCATCCAGAGCAGGCTGCCCAGGACCCTGTCCAGGCAGCTTTTGAAGATCTCCGAGGAAGAGACTGCACAACTTCTCTGGGCAACCTGTGCCAGTGCTCCATCACCTGCACAGTACTGAAGTGCTTCCTGATGTCCAGATGGAACCGCCTGTTTCTCATTTTGTGACCACTGCCTCTTGGCCTGTCAAAATTTTAATCCCAAAATAAGGTCAGAGTATTTTCATGAGATAGAAAGTAACTTTCTAGTTTATTGCACCTGCTTATCTGAATTTCCACAAAATTTATTTCCCCTACTTCTAGGTCCTAAAGCTAAAAAAGGCTAGAAAGGCACTAGATGCACTGCATAATCTGTAGTAAACAGATGTGCACTTGAAGAAATTTAAAAAAGCACAGCCTCTCAGAGGCTTAACCTTGACTGAGTTAAATGAACATAGACTGAAGGCATGCATTTGACATTTATCATTGTCACATTTTGACTGATCCACTTGGGTGTGCGAGGGATTTTGTTATATTTTTGAATATCACACAGATTCTGACCTCAGAATCAGTCCCTAGATACTTGCTCATATGCATATCTACTATTAATGGAAGGATATTTGAAAGTTTTTTCTTTAAATTTATTTTTTTTCTAAACTGAGGAGTCAGACAGGAAACTCTCAATAACACAGTATCTTCAAGAAAGGCAACACTGCTTAGGTAGTAAAACCTCTGAGCTTTTACCTCTACACACTACTAGAGGTTAAACTGTATCATTTTTCTGCTTTACTGTAGCCATCACCTTTCCTTTTGATGTATTTCTAACTATTCTGGTATACAACCAAATCTAGACCAGCAAACTAAATAACACATGGCATGATTTTTTCCATATTTTCTTTCCATATTTTATAAACATTGCCTGAACTTGCAGCCTTTGACCCAACTTTATGTATATCCTTAAATTAAATACAATATGACACATATACCAGAGTAAAATTAACCATGTTCTTCAACTCTGCAGGATTAGCACAAACATCTAATTCTGTAATCCACATTCAGAACAAATACATGTCTTCAACTGCAGCAAGATCTAGCACATAAAAAAGGAAAAAAAAAAGTGAAACACTAGAGCACGCGGAAAAAGGCTGGTAAGACAATCTTCCTTCCTGGAGGTTTTTAAAGAACAGATTAGGAAAATGCCTGGCAAGAATGACATTTATAGTCAAGCTTACCTTGCAATCAGAATGTAAAAAGCCTAAACAACACTTCAGACTTATTTTTTCTTGATTCCATGATAACCTATAAAGTCAAATAGTAAATCAACCCAAAAACGTGTCTCCCAAAATTCCATATGTGTTTGTTAACTGTTAAAGCAGAACCTAAAATTCAAAACCTATTCTTACTGAATGAACACTGAGACTGGGATCAGCTGTAAGAGATCACCATCCAGCTCAGTACTGTCACTAAGCAACACCAGAGCACTACTTACTGCCATTGTGGTTGAATAGTATTTTTTGTTTGTTTGTTTTCAGTACTAGAGGAAAAAAAAGATTAAAGCCAAAAGAGCAAGTAAATCCCTTGTTCAATAGTATATCCATTGTAAAACTAGACAAATATTTATATGTCCCTAAGAAGGGACAATATAATGCAACCCTAAATTCTCTTCTGCTTTACTGCTATGCAATATATGACCATCTAACATGCACCATATAGTGATTTATTGCTAGATTTTAAACAGTAACTGAGTAACTCCACCACAAAAGATCAGTACTGATACCATGAGTTTATCCTAAGATAAGGGTATATCTCAGTTGTAGAAGTGTTGAGAGGGTTGGGCTCTGAAGTTATATTTAGAAGTCATGCAAGTCCCTGTATAAAAGCAAATGTTATAGGGCTATTTACCAGCTAAGTATTATGAGACTTAATTTACTCATTTGCCGAACATAGAAGAAGGGAAGTGTTCCTCTAATGTCTGAAAGGAAATCACAAAGATTAAGCAGAGATCATACAACATGGAGGAAGAAAAAGACTGCTTTAATATCAGAATAAGCAGCAGCTGGAACCTGAAATGCTGTAGAACCCAATGAATTGTCCAAAGATAACTACGTAATTAAAATGTAAGGATAATTTAGGAATAGAATCTGGACTGAGCGTGAATCCTTTCTTACAACGGGAAAAGCAAAACTTGCAAGTTGTGCACTGAAACACCTTCTTTACCTTAATCCCAATAGAATCAAGATATACTGTTATATTAATCTGATGAAGTTATTTCTTCCCTTATCCAAGACAAAAGATCTCTTAGTTTCACAGTGAGAAAGAACATTCAATGTGCCCCATTCATGCTCTACATTGACTTTGTTGCACTAACCTCATATGCAGATTCAAGTATCTATCAGGCTGCCTTCATGGCATGTTTCCCCACACAAAGGTGAGATGCCTTCCCACGTGTTACAAGCAGGATACTAACCACAGCCTGTATTATGAACAGAGCTCTGAATAGCCCTGTTCATGAGTACAGACCCAATTTTCAAGCTGAAAATTCACCCATGTGGGTACTGTTTTCAAAAGGCAAGGCACACTTGCCTTTCTGTATTTGCAGGTTGAATCTCAGGTTTTCCTTAGTCAATATCCCAGTTGAAATAAGCAGTATTTAGTAAACTAGTATTTATTAAATATTTTACTTCAGCAGGCTTACCTAGATGTTTACTTTGCTGTGGACTGCTCCTAGTAGCTGTTAATAACATCATAGCAGATGACAGCAATACACAATTTTGAACAAACACATCCATAGAAACATAGCAGTTGAAAAAAAAAAACAAATGGATTTGTCTTATGTAAGCTAAGCACTTCTTTCTAAGATGGAATCACTTTAACTGCAGCAATAACATTCAGAAAAACATGTTTTTTATTGAAGTTCACTTAAGAGACCATTCCTCTACAGATCCTGTTCTGCTTCTCTTCTATCCTTTGACAGGTTCTGAAGTTATCTGGTCACAGCTTCTCATCAGAACACCTCTCAAAGCTTATGGATTGGTATTGATTCCTTATCACATCCCAACAGGTGAACTTCTCCCAACAGGGAGAGGTAAGCCTCTGGTAGCTCCCCAGAATACCTGCGTTATGACTTAGTAAAACAGATGTGATCTAGTGTTCTTCTTAAAAATAATATGACAGTAATCACGCATTATATACATGTGGTACTTGAATGGGAGAAGTTGAAGACTTAGTCTCCAGATACACTTTATGTTATTTCAGCAAGGTCAACAGCACTGTATGGTTATAAACAAGCACTGAATCTGGTCTTCAAACTAACAAAGGATATGAACCCATACGAATATACATCTCAATTTTGCTTATGTTGCAAAACAGTGACACCCACTGGCAGCAAGAGTTTAAATACTTAATTGTTGCAATTTGGATCTACTTGGTGATGCTTGCTAGCAAGTTTCTCTGAGAAAAATTCATCACAGTAACAACCATACAAACTTACCTGCAGAGTCAGCACTATCCTCCGAGTTTTCAGAAGCTGAAATACTATTAGTATCTTGAGTAACTGCAACATAACCCTCAGGAGGAAGATTCACTGTGTACATTTTCCTTGGAGGCAGAACTGTATTGTCACTACCTACAAAACAGAAAAACAAGGTGTCTTGCTATTGATCTCAGTAAAGATTTTCTCAAACATTTTGCCAACTAAAGCAATGATAACAAGTGGTCTCAAAATCATTAACGAGAAAAAAAGTGAGAGTGCGTCAGATGTGAAATACTGAAATTATCGTACGACCAACAAAATTGCACTGAATTCTGTAGCAGCTACAAATAAATTCATTCTCCAGAGGTTAGTTCCTTCTATTAGAAACACTTTTTTTTTTGTCATAGAATTCTTCTGCCCTAACTTAAGAAGCTTCCACTTACAGTGATACACTAAAAGACACTACATATTTCTCCTTATTCAGCATGAGCAGACACTATTTTTGTAAGAACTGTTTCACAGAAGATGGAGAGATTAAAAGTGATACAAGTAATAGAAAAAGAATCACAGAAGTAGAATCACAGAAGTGTGGTTCGTCTATTTGCAGACTTTTTAAGATATAATCTAGGTGCAGTTGTAAAGGGCACAAAGATAAAGTGAGTCTGAAAACCACACTTGACTAAGCCTCAGCAATTTCTGCCCAAGAGGGTTCACCTCCCCATCTCTTCTTGAAGAGTGCCAAGAGCCAGCTTCCCAACTATTTCATTATATAAGAAATACTATTTGTTACAATAGCAGTAGGCTGCTTTTGTAGAATTTCTTTCCCCTTTAAAAGGGTATTTAGAAATGTACTACAGCACTCTTGCACAATCTTGACATTTGTTTGCTAGGCAAGAAGTAACTGTAAGAATGACTGATGCTTCTCTGTTCCAGTTACTTTTTTTTTTTCTTTTTCTCTGTAATGACAACAATTGGGATCAACTACAGGGAGACAAAAGCCTATCCAGAAGACCAAGATGTTCAGGTTGTCTCCAGATGCTTCACTGTAATTTTAGATGGTTCAGCATGTTCTTTTCCCATCAGCTTGCCCCATAAGCAAGCATCAACACAGCGTAAAGCTTCCCTCCTTAAGGATAACTTGCCCCTTTAAAAATAGATGAAAGTGGTGTAATGCTATTCAGTGAACAGGTCTTTGACAGGTGCACAAAATTAGCCTCTTCACAGATGTGCAAGATCTGAAATGATCCAAGCCCATTACCAAGCTGTACCAATGGGTAGATGAATACCTCAATATTTAAAATGTAGTTGTGTCTGATAGAAGCACAGATCCCTAACAAGAATAATTTCTATAACGAAATAGCTTTCACCAAGTCCTTTTCCATCCAAATAAGTAATTTATCTATACAGGTTGAAATTTCTCAGATAAAAAATTTCCAAGAGTTCAGCATGACTGATCACCTAGATATCTGTGATGATTACATTTCAGAATATTTAAGGCACTTTTGAAAAGCTACATATCACAGTGGTTTTTATTATCAGGATGCAAGCTTTTTATTTTGATAATACATGAGAAAACAGTTGTTTTTCTTGAACAAGCCAAAAAATTTCAAACCGACGTTGATGATGCTTCAAAGGCTAATAAAGGAAGTTAAATAATTAATACAATATGATGAAGAGCAATTATGTGATTTGGAAAAAGATTAACTAAAATTAATTTTGAGTAATTCTTTTACAAGTCCTTTTTGCGAAGCTGATGCCAAATCACTGAACTGGCAGTACTTGCATTGTTCCCCGCCCCATGTTGATTAATGATGAAGTGTTAATTGGTGATGGTTTTAATTTACAAGTATGTGTAAATATATTTTGAACTACTCCCTTCTGAATAATTTTAAAATTTTCTTTCCCTGCATTTCACCTTTTTTCCCCCTTTTATGTTCGAGTTCTATAAAACCATAGACAACTGTAAGACATTAAACTCAATTTGCAGTAGTCATGGCTAACTAAAACCCTTTAATCATACAACAATTGGATTTATTAGGGGATATATTAACCTCCTAGAACAAAACAGCTGAACAAAACCGAATTTGGGGGGAAAATCTGTTAACACCTACTCTTGCAAAGAAGAACATTAACAACTGTTATTATGTAAAGGAGTGAGCACTCAAAAGAAATGTAAGAAATTTTTAAATGGAAGCCCCCATATTATTTACCCTATGTAAATCCTGAAGTAGTTTATAAACCATGAATAAGGCGTTAGTCTTTGTTAATCCTGTAAAATTACATAAAACCAGTTACCATATCATAAAAACAGTACATGCACAGCTGTATAATCTCAGCACATCAATTGCTCAGTCTCAAACCATGAAGTCTGGAGTTTTCCAGACAGAGGCCAGTCTCCCTGGGCTAAGCCGAGATGGATTGATTACAAAGTCCTAAACATTGCTGCAAAGCAGCTAAGCATACAAAAACATGACACCATACTATTTTTAAAAAACATACACATATTTGAAACTAATAAAAATAATTAGATACTGGAAGTACTCAAAAGTGCCCTTCTTCCCACTAGTTAGAAGTCTGGTGAATTCACCAAATTGATAATTCCAGTAACGAAACTAGATCACACCAGTTATCAGTGAATCCCTAAGTGATTTGTTGCAGCATCATTAACGAAAGAAGTACAGTTTGGAGGGAGCTACATTTTTGTAACCTTAACGTGTTATGGGAAATTGAACAAATGCACTTATCCAAGAAGCATAGTGGGTGTTTTTTCCTTGTCTAATGCACCACAAAGAGAAAACTCAAAAGTCTTATTGTATTTGCATACAGAAAAATGATAGGTGCTTATCTACAGGTAGCATAGACAAACAGTTAACAGTTTATGAGGTTTTATTTTAATTCAATAAAAAAGCACAAATATTTAAAGAATGCTTACAAAATCAAAAAAGAACAAATATCATTCTTAAAGGTAAACTATGAATACAGAATAAATATTTTGAATCAACTTGTCTCCTATTCATATTCCAGTCCACAACTTTCCCCATACAAGGCTCCTTTGCATATAAATCAACCTTGTGCACGGAGTGGGGAAGTGCATCTAAACTGCATCGTTACCAAGGTTACATCTGCAAGGATGTCAGCAGCCTGGCTAGCTATGTCACCGCTTGCTGCCCTGCCCCAGACAAGTACGGGACCTCTTACAGAGATGAGGATAAAGCTTCCATCTCACCTTAGCTGAGTGAAGTTGCCAGCTGTTCAGTCTGTCATCATTTCAGGTAAAGATAGTGTGTTTTGTTTCAGCTTAGTTTTACAATCTTAAAGCTTTTTAAAGCTTTCTCCTACCTGCTGCTTGGAGTGTTCGTATTTTAGTATGGCTTCAGCCTGAACATCTTTGTGCTGTCACACCTGGCAACACCTTGAACATGTTCTGGCCACAGATGCATTCATATAACCTCAGCCCTGTGCTTGCTGGTAGGTAAACGATTAATCCCTGCGCAGCGATGAGGCTTCACGTTTCTGCGGTGGGTTGGCCCTGGCCAGCAACCACCCAGCCGCTTGCTTGTTTCCCCCTCAGCAGCAGAGGGAACAAACGGGGCCAATAGGCATGGGAAAGCTCCTGGGCTGAGATAGAACTAAGGAGATCACTTACCGTTAACTGCTGGAGGCAAAACAGACTTCACTAGGAGAAATTAATTTACTGCCAGTTAACATAGATATTTAATTGTGGGTTTGGGCATTGGGAAGCAAACACTGTCCTGCTGTGGGGCTAATTTTGAAGGAACTGGAATTAGCTGTTAGCTGTGGAACAAGACAGGGCAGCCCCTGTACTCTTCTCAGAGAGGCCACCCTGCAGCACTCGTGTTACCAAAACCCTACCACCTCTACCAAATACAGCTCCCCATTCTTACACCAAAAACCTGTCTTTATCAGCAAGTGCTTTCCTGCAGCTCAGAAAGCCTCAGTTCCACAGTGTGGAAGTAGTAGAGCAAATAGAGGACCAAGGACCAGTGGTCAGCCAGAACCTCTTGCAGACTTTTCCAAACAGTAGCCAAGAGGCAAGTTAGCTGCCCCTGACTTTAGGACGTTACGCTTTGGAAACACCCAGCCATCACTTGGGGAAGAGCAGAAGAAGAGGTAAGCCTCAGAAGAGTTCCTTACAGAAAACCCCAGGAAGGCAGAGATGGATGCTGAATGCCAAGGTCTGATTAATCCAGAGCCAGGGCTTTCTACAGAAGTCGATATTCTTCAGGTTAGCATTTACTGTAACCCCACTGCAGAAGACATGGTCTTGACAAAAACGAGGCTCGAAGGTGATCTGTGATCTCCTTTAAAACATTTGCATTAGTGTATTTTGTTGAATATGACCATAGTCCAGCCCTTATTTTCATTAAATATAAAGTAGATTGAGGCTATGACATGAAAATTAGGACATTTGTTTTAGCCAAGTGACAACCATCACACTAATGGAAGCTTTGTGCTACTTTGCTAGGTACCATTGCAGGTGGGAACTTAGTTTTCACAAAGATATGGAACTCCCTTACGAAGAGCTAATAGACGTAATTTACTGTCATGGTAATCATTTTAGCTTGTTTAACACCTCTAAAGTGCACAGTCTTTCTCGTTTAATTAATCCTTAAATAATTTCTCATCTGCAAACATTAGTATCCAATCCATCCTCCTCATTAACAGTAGCTTATTGTTTAAATGAGGAGAGCCACTCAAGTAAGTCTTTGGGTAAAGATACGCTCCTTCCAAAGATTCTTCATCATTTTCTAAATAAAAGTTAACTGAATGGCTTTTGGATATTTAATGATATCAAGTTACACTACTTGCTGTTGTCATGTATTTCATTGGCACCAGTACCTGCATCAGAATACTAAAAAATCATTTTCTTCCGCAAAGTATACTTCAGATTTACAGTTTTAAAGATGTCTGCTATTCTGTTTTGAATGATAAATTCCCCCGCTTGCCAGGTAAGATTTCATAGTGTGCATTTTTACTCTAAATTGTAAAATTTACATAGACTCAAACAAATAAATAATGAAAGGAAAAAAATAATCAAGTGCATACCTTCAGCTCAGAAAATACCCAGGTTGTGAACCATTGGACAACATTATTGGGAAGCAGTACAGTATCCCTACTTTATTCCAATACTC